TGTGCTGGGTTTGGAGCCTGGGTGTGCCCAAGTCTGTGACGGTGATGGTGATGTTGTACTCGGCCCTGGTCTCTCTGTCCAGAGGGCTCTCTGTCATCAAGGTGTAAAAATTCTTGAAGGTGTGGTTTAGAAGGAAAGGGAGATCATTTTGAATGGAACAAATTATCTTTCCGTTGTCCCCAGAATCCGAATCAGAAACAGTGAAAATAGCAACTACTGTCTCCGGGGAGTTTTCTGGGATAGATCTGCTGAGCGTGGATATGGTCAATTCAGGAGCATTGTCATTCACATCTAACACCACTACTGCTACAGTGCATTTTCCTGAAAGTCCTCCACCATCTGTAGCTACAATTTCTATGTTATAATCTCTAGTTACCTCGAAATCCAATGCTCTTTTGAGACGAATTTCTCCCGTTCTTTCGTCTATTGCAAAAGATTCTGGAAAGGCATTGCCTTGCAATACAGTATAAACCACACTCCCATATGTTCCTGCATCTAAATCTCGGGCAGAGACGATAACAACGACGGAATTCAGGGGACTGTTCTCAGAAATCTGTACTTCATAGAGCGACTGTAAAAATTCAGGGGCGTTATCATTGATGTCCACGACTTCAATGCGCACTGTGGTGGTCCCGGACCTGGGCGGATCCCCGCCATCCACAGCAGACAGTATGAAACTAAGCTCGGCCTCCTCCTCCCGGTCCAGCGCTTTATCCAGCACCAGCTCTGGATATTTTCTGCCATCCCCGCGATTGTGAGTAACCACATGAAAATGGGAGTTGGGGCTGAGTGTGTAGTTCTGAACAGTGTTGCTCCCTATGTCAAGGTCCTGGGCTATTTTCAAAGGAAAAACAGTCCCAGGCTGGGCGCTCTCTGGAATTTTAAGGAGCATTTCCCTCTCTGTGAACTCCGGAGCATGGTCATTTACATCTGTGAGTTGCAGCTCGCCTTGAAAAAACTGCACCGGGTTTTCCAGTACCAGTTGGAAATGCACCACACAGGGTTCTGTC